GTGTGTGTGTGCAGGGTTTGGGGAGGAAGGGAGGGAGAGGGGGGCAGTCCTCAACCCACTCTCATCCCCCCTCTGCCGGGGCTTGGGGTGCCCGGTGGGACCCCGCGGGGCTGGGAGGGGGCGGGGGGGGCTGTCAACCGACGCCTCCCCGGGGTCCCTCCGCTCCCTGGCACCGCTGGTCCCCGGGGACTCTGCCCCCGGCGGGCGCGCAGAGCCGTGGCTGAGGCTCGGTGCCTCTTTCCTTCCCTTCCCCATCACCGCCGGGCTCCCCTCCTCGGTTCTCCCCGGCCGCTCGCTGGAATCCCTTCATTAGCCTCCCTTCATTAGCGGTGGGCACCTACCCCATCTCCATAGACAGCGCTAAGGCTGTGTGTCAGCCTGGCCCGGGCTGAGGCCTGCCGAGCTCGCTGCACTGATGACCGCAATCAGATGCGAAATCTGCATCCCCCTCCTCCCGGACGTGGGGAAGCTCCTGCTCCCTGTGGGAACCAGATGCGGTTTTGGGGTAGGGAGTGTCCCTCCCTGGGGGCAAACCTTCCTCCATACAGATGTTTGCCAGCCCGGAGAGGGAGGGTGTTGAGCAGAGTGGGGTGATGGAGGTGACAGACCGGGCTGTGCCCGCCTGCGTTTCACCGGGGGGCAGTGGGAAAGGGAGAGCCCGTCTCCCGGTTGCTTTTGCAGCAGGTATAGTATAGATTTGGGAGCCACATGTGTGCTCCAGCCTGGCAGCGGTTTTGCTTTCACCAAACCCAAGCTGGAGTGGTTTTGCTTTGTGTTTTGGCCTGAGGCCCACGCCTTGCGGCCCGGGTTCCCTTTTTGGAGGAGAAGGAGATATTGCACTTTCCGGGAGGCCAAGCCCCTCAATCTCTCAGAGGTGAGAAGAAGCAGCGCGGCTCTGAGGAGCTTTTGGGAGCTGGGAGAGCTGGGAGAGCATGGTCATGGCAGAGGATGGCGATGGAAAAGAGCACACCTGACCATCCCATCCCTCCCCTTGGCCACCAAGCTTTCTCAGCCTGCTGCAGCCTCTTCTCCTCCACTTCTCCATCCTGGCGCCCCCGTACCACCCAGGAGCCATTCTTTCAATCCCACCCCGTCCCCTTTCCTTCTTTGGTGTTTACATTCTTCAGATACTTGCAGGCTGTTATCACCTCCCCTGTAGCCCTTCTTCAGCCAGAGCAGGCAGCTGCCTCTCCTTAACCTGCTGTTGGAAGCCAGTCCTTCCAGATGTCACCTATGTCCCTGGCTGCTTGGGGACAGAGGCACCCCCTCTGGTGCCTCTACCAGGCAGGGCTGAACGTGGAACTGTGGTGGGTATGGATGCACCAGGCAAAATTGCTGCTGCCTCCCAAGCCGAAGCCTCACCATCCGCAGCCCCAAGCTGTGTTTTGCCGGAGGTGCATCCTGCCTCATCCTTGCACCCGGATCTCTCCCAGTGGTTCAGCTTCCCTGCATGTTTCCTCCTCCTCCTGCTGCCGGGACGTTTCCTCTGGATGGGGGGGAGGTTCGGTTCCTGAGCTCTTTAATGCTGGGTGAGGAAGCTGGATTTGGTTGTGGGGAGAAAAGTGGCTTTAAGTGCTTTGGGCATCAACTGGTGCCTCGTCCTACGGGACAGGCCCCGCCATGACAAGAATAGTTCAAAGCCAACTCCAGAGCTGGGGGTGGCAGGGAAAAGAAAACGGGGAGCCTTGTGCAATTCACCCGCTTGGGAGAAGCCATCCAGGGGGATTTTCTGGCCCCAGCACTGAGTCAGGGACGGGCGGTTCTGGCAGGACTTTACGCCGGTTTTCCCAGCGGCATAATTAATGTTCATCATTTTGGCACCTAATGCTTCGGCATTGCAAATCCTCAATCGGACGAGACCCAGCTGATCCGTGCAAGAGCCCTGGCCAGGGATCCTTTTGCTCCCTCTCTCCCTGTGTTGTTTTTCTGCCGCCGCGGAGCCTGCCCAGCTCTCTTCTGCCGAGCGCACGTGCGTCCCAGGAGGGGGGGAGGTTGTGCTTTGACGTTTCGCCTCCTTTCCTTCCCTCCCGCCGCTCCCAGTTTGGAGCCGGAGCTGAAGTCACTGGATTGGAAGGGATAACGGGGGGAAAAAAAGGGTGGAGCTGCTGCCACGGGGAAGGAATTCGTTTTTGGGGTGCTTTTTCAGGGCGGCAGCAGGGTGGGCAGGTCGTCCGGGTCCGTAGGGATGGGGATGCACATGTCCCCCTCGTCTCTCAGCCACCGGCAGCGCCCGTCACCTCGGTGGGAGGTGAGACGTGGGAGCCCCCTGTGCCTTTTCACTCTGGTTTCTCCTCCCTTCCCAGGCGGCTCGGGGCCACCGTCGGACGCTTCTGGCCCAGCCTGAAGCTGTAGCAGCCGGTGACCCTCCCCTTGGCGGGCCTCCCCGTGCCTGCTGGAACCAATAGCTGGAGCGCCGGCACATACTGGGCTCTTGCCGCCCCATAACCTTGGGTGTAGCCCAAGAGCAGCAGCTCTGGGAGGTGGAAGCAGGGAAAGGCTTGGCCCGGCTGGGCAGTCAGGGTGCTGGGTTTGCAGGGCAGCTACAGCCAACCACCAGACTCCTTCTGGGGGTGCAGGGTGGCCATCAGCTTGCTGAGCCACCCCTTCTTGCCAGCTCAGTCTCGAGTGGTGGTTGCGACACTTGAGGAACGCTGGTGGGCTTCCCTGGGGCTGGCAGGTCTGGTGCAGACCGCTGGGAGGTCCAGCTCTGGCACTGTCACTTCTCTCCAGCACTGCTCCACCTGGCTCAGCTGTGGAAGAAGGGGCTTCCCAGGGAGAAGAGGCGTGTGGCTGAATTATTTGGTGGTGCAACTTCTCCGGAGCCAGCAGGGTTGGGAGGAGGGATCAGCTCGAGCCTGTTTGGCTGAGGGCGAAGCCAGGGAGAGCAGTTCCCCTGAGTCAGCTCTCCGGTGCTCCACCTTGGGAAGGAGATAAACTGGTTGGGATGCCGCACCAGTGGCGTGAGGTTAGGAGGAGGCGGGGAGGGGGGGGGGAAACTTCTTTCTAGCACGGGGTGATCTGGGTGAAACTCTGGTCATCCTCATCTTCGGTGGCTGGGCAGGGGGCAGGCTCTGCAGCCGGAGGGAGCAGGTAGGGCTGGGTGGTAAGAGAGGAGCCCCCAGCATCTCAGAGAGGGTTGAGTCTCGGAGAGGATCGAGCGCTGGTTGTGACTCTTGATTTCATCTCTACCCTGGGGCACATCGTTTAAAGGCAACGTGTTTTCACAGCTGTTAAATTGCCTCCTGTATGTTTGCGGTGAGGGCTGTTTCGTACCGAGCTGCTCGTGTCTTTAATAAATGATCGGTGGTGAAGTTACTGGAGGGACGTAGCTTTGAGGCACAGATGGCCAAGGTTTGGACAAGGCGTGTCTGGTTCTTTGTGACTTTGCCTCCATCTCCGAGCCAAGCAGCGCAGTGCTCCAGCACTCCCTTCTGCCTGCTCTCTTGCCCTTGCCTTCCCCCTCTCTGAATAAATACCTCCGAGGCACCTTGTGGAAACCTCGGTGCTGCATATTTTCCTTTAATTTTTTTTTTTAAACCTCTTTGCTTATCTCCTGCTTCCTCTTACAGGAATGACTGCCTGCTGCTGAGAGCTAAATCCAGTTCTCCTTCACCACTGGGTCCTATACCCCCATGACTTTCCTAAAAGCCATGCCAGGCTATTCCCACTTGTTGTTCTGCCACTGGGGACTCGCCTTCCACCCCCTGGCATGAAAAGCCCTTTTGTGGGTCACTCCCAGATGGTAACCCTCTGTTTTTGTCCTTTCCTTTCCAGCCGGATCTTCTCAATTTCAAGAAGGGATGGATGTCCATCCTGGACGAGCCAGGAGAGGTAAGCCCTTGGCAGGGGTCTGCCTCTTCCCCCAGCCCCTGCTGCTTAGAGATCCCTCGTAGAGCAGCTGATTTCCTTCCCCCTCCCTCACTGAGGTCACTCCCTCTGGGAAAGGCAGAGAGAAGCCTTTGGTGGCCTGGTGCCTCACTGTGTGCGAGCACGGAGGTTCATCCAGCACCCCTCTCCCAGCTGAGGGGTGTGAGGGGGAGCTGGAAGGGACATGGAGGAGGGGGAAGAGGTCGCAGCGCAGAGTGTCCCTTCCTATTCCTACACTTCCCCCGGTAACTTCCTATCCATTTCCCTCCTGTCTTTTCCCTTCCCTCCCCCTGCCCCATCCGCCTGCAGTGGAAGAAACATTGGTTCGTGCTGACCGACTCGAGCCTGAGGTATTACCGGGACTCGAACGCGGAGGAGGTAAGCATGGCCAACCTTTCTCCAGCCCTCTTGTCCTTCCCCACCCTGTGCACGTGGCCAGGGGGGACGAGAGCGCAGCCCTGGCACAACCAGCGGGGTCCTGGGGGAAGCAGCAACATCTTCTCCTCCTGAAAGGCAATGGAGGTTGCAAGCTGCAATTTGCCGAGGGGTGGTGAAGAGGATGGGTGTCTGAAGGCGAGTTGGCAGGGTGGCAACCCTGGCAGGGACTGTCCGTGGTGGGAGGTGAGGGGAAGGGGTGACCCCGTGTCTGGGCATCTCTGATGCTCTCTGTCCATGCTGCTTGGCTTAAAAGAGGCCATGCTGTGCCAGGGAGCTGAGACTGGAGCATCCACCCATGGTCCTGGCTGAGGAGGGTTTAGCCTCCACCATCTCCAGTCCATGCGAGCTGTGTGAGTGCTTTGAGCCTGCAAAGACATGAGCTGTGGGGTGAAGGCAGAGGTGGCCTGTGATTTGGTTAAGGTGCCAGCAGATGACAGGGGCTTTTTCAAAGCTGGGCTTGCACTGACATCCTAGTGGGTGGCTGTGCTTGCAGGCTGACGACCTCGATGGAGAAATCGACCTCCGCTCCTGCACGGACGTGACGGAGTTTGCGGTGCAGCGCAACTATGGCTTCCAAATACACGTGAGTGTCTGGCACCAAGGGACACTTGGTGGGAATGCGTGCTCCCTCCCAGTGCCAAGATGCTGAGACTCAAGCCATGCAAACTTTGTGCCAGAACAGCAGCCCAGCAAGGCTCACTGGTGACACGTGGGTGGCAGTGCTTAGGACATGAGTGCTGCCTGCCTGCAAAGGAAGGAGGAGGAGGAGGCGGCTTTGTAGAGCTGGCTGAAGGCTGTGCTGGAGGCAACCCAGGAGCCAAGTTAAACGCCAGGAGTGTTTACTTGACCCGTTGGCCAAGGCAGCTTCTCTAGAGCTGTGGGGAGGGAGTGGTGAGCCCTGCAGATCTTGGTGTAGCCTGGCTGACCGTGCTCAGAGTAACAGCCTGTACCCTGGATCCAGCCCCAATACAAGCCTGTCCTTGGCTACTTGGTGTAGCAGTGGGAGATGGCTGCTAAGGCTGCACAAAAAAAATAGTATTTCTATGGGTGTGCAAGGTCGGGCACTTTGTGGTCTGGGTTACGCTGTGGCCTCCTGCTGGTGCCCAGCTCCCAGCACCACAATAGCTGGATTGCACCAGCTCATATTTAGCCAATCTGCCAGCAAAGGTTCTTTTGCCTTTGCTTGGAGATACACATTCCTCATAAGAGTTAACAGGCTTCCCCACAAAGAGCGTGACTCCACTCCCACCCCTCCACCTGGCCACAAGAGTCTTTGAGACAGCGGGTGGCCTCTCTGGCACTGTCCACCACCCTTGCAAGTGGGTGCCAGGGGAGGTCTTGGGGGGTGAGTGGGACCTGCCTGAACCTCCACCAGGCGCTGACAGAGCCTCTATTGCCTCCCCATTGCAGACAAAGGATGCTGTCTTCACCCTGTCGGCAATGACCTCAGGTATCCGGCGCAACTGGATCGAGGCCCTGAGGAAGAACGTGCGCCCGGTCAGTGCTCCGGACGTTACCAAGTAAGAGGCACCCCGCACTGATTCTCCTCTTCCCTGTCCTGCTGCACCTCTACCCTAGCAGGCAGGGACCAGGAAGGTCCCTCTGGAAACCTGGCTGCTCCTCAATGAGCCCTGCCTGCCCAGCAGTTCCCCTGCCCTCCGCTCCTCCAGAACATGGCCTGGAGACACAGGCCGGTGGCAGGGGTTGAGAGCCTGATTGCTCCCTCCCTTGCACCCGCTTCTTGCCTCGCCACATCAGTTTAACTCAGTTTCACTGCTGATGTAGCTGGAACAGAGAGGGGGGTGAATCCTCCCCAGCCCATGGGGGAGCCCGTTTCACCCAGGGATGGGGTGCTGCAGGCCCAGCCCTGCACTCAGAGTGGGGTTTTGTAAAGCTGGGCTGATGGGCAGTTGGCAGTGTCTCCACCGGCATCCTTTCCCCCATGGTGCATCTCCTTCACCAGTCACTACCACCACTCTGCTTTCAGGCTCTCCGACTGCGATAAGGAGAACTCCTTCCGTAACTGCGTCCCACAGAAGGGCTCGCTCCGGACAGAGGAGCAGCAGCGGCCGGGCTCGGGCTCTGAGGGGAACTCGAAGGGCAGTCACTGGAAGGCGGACGGGCAGCGCCATGCCTTTGACTACGTGGAGCTGTCTCCCTTGCCACAGGACCCTGGGAACCAGGGGTCCCCACAGAGGACGAGAGGGAGCTTGAGGGTCTCCGACCGACCTCCCAAGCAGGAGGAGCTGGAGCGGGATCTGGCTGTCCGTTCAGAGGAGAGGCGGAAATGGTTTGAGACCCCCGATGGCAGGGTCCCAAATAGTGATGGCCTGGTGGGGGACTCTTCCCGCAAGATGGGGGAGCTGGAGCCCCCCGCTCCCCCGCTCTCAGAGGACCAGCGGATGCGGCTGAATGAGGAGATAGAGAAGAAGTGGCTGGAGCTGGAACGCCTGCCCTTGAAGGACTCACGGCGAGTGCCCTTGACAGCACTGCTGAACCAGAGCAAGGGAGGGCAAGGAGAAACCAATGAGGCGCTGAAAAAGGAGGTAAGAGCGTCTCTCCTCTCTGAAACTGGGATTCTGGTGGCTTCTTAGTGTGGTCCCTGACAGCAGGAGGCTCTGCGGAAGAGCAAGGCAGAGGTGCAGGGAGGTGTTCATTCTTTCTGGTTCCGTTGCCACTCCTCGAGTGCATGGGAGCTTTTGCAACCGGGTAATGCGAGGCCGGAGGCCTGCTCTTGCACACCTGGAGAGGTTTCCATGCCACATGTTGGTCCAGGGTAAGTTAGTTGGTGGCACTGCTTGCGTGGAGTCAGTGTTTCCCAGGAGTATATCTGTCTTCTCAAGCCTGCAAGCATTTCACCAACCAGCCTTTGAAAGAAGTTGGGATATCTCATCCCTTCCTTGCTAATGCTAACCAGGCTGGGTCTGGCTACGCTGGTTTGGTCCCTTGGCAGGCTGGCATTCCTGTGGGAAGCAGACATCCCCGTTGGCCATGCATGGTCCTCCCCAGCCCTAAGCCCAAGGTTCAGTTGTGGCACATCAGTTGGGTCATGGCACTCTTCCACCCCTGGCTGAGCATCTCTCTCCCCTTCCTGGTACAGGTCCAGTCGCTGCGGGCTCAGCTGGAGTCCTGCCGGGCCCGAAACGAGAGCCTTCGGGAGGCGTCGAAATCCCAGGGAGACAGCCATGTGCCCCGGGGGTACATCTCACAGGTGAGCAGGGCGCTGGACAGGGGATCCTGGGGTCTCTCCCAGTCCCAAACTGGGAAGTGCTGGGACTCGGCTCATTGCCCAGCAGGTATTGCTAATCGTTGGGTTTCCATGGCGAGCCTAACAGGGCTCACTTGTAATCAATGTTAATTACATAAAGGCTGGTGTGTGCTGCTTGGCCTTAAAGGGACCAGAGTATAAATGGGGAGGAGGAGGAGCATTTAGGGGGGAGGTGTGGGGTCTGTGCCCTGCTTTGTGCGTGGGTGTGATGCTGGCCTGGGCAGCTGGGATGAGCCATCTCCCAGCTTGGGAGTGGGTCAGCAGCTTTCTGCCAAGCTGCCCACGTGTTCCCCAGCAGTTTGCAGCTTGCCAGATGCGGTTCTTGCTAGCAGGGTCTCCCAAAGCCCTTGGTAAAAGCAGTCCGTCAGGCCCTGGGGAGCTCCTGTCCCTGCCAGAGCTGCCTGAGCTGACTGAAGGTCACTTTGACAGCACAGTCCGTTCGTTTCCTGGGACAGCACGTGGGAAAGCCTGCGAAGCAAAGTTTGCTCACGCTTCAGCCTCTCTTCTCTTTGTTTATTTATTCCCCCCGCCGTGGACTCATCCAAAGAAAGCGAGGTCACATCCCGCAGGGATTTCCTGGGGGGAGGCTGCCAATGCACCATGCTGTGGGGATTTCAGGATGTGCTGTACGTGTTGAAAGACACCCACGGGGGGGAAGGAAATTGGGGCTGGCGAAACCCGTTGCAGTGGGTTGGCCATACCTAGCCCAGATAAAGAAGCCCACGGGTGCTGTGGCACCCAGCCCAGCAGTCTCTCCGTCATCTTGATTTAATGTTTACAGCTCACAGGCCTTTTTAAGGTCAAAAAAAGCAAAAGGAGTAGGGAGGAATGGCACCTTATCTTCCAAATAACTCAGCTCAAAAGGTCAGCGTTTCACATCTGAGGCTAAACTTGGCCTTTCCCCAAAGGGCTTGTTCTCTCTCAGTCTGCTGAGGTTCGCACCCAGCCTGTGGGCAGATCACCAAATTGATCTCTCGCCTTTTCCTCTCCTTTGGTTGATCTGTGAAGCTTCCCAACTTCTCTCATCTCAGGAGGAAGGAAAGGCCGGCAAACACTTGCATTCCCACGTGTTGCAGCACCCTTTGTATCAACCTTCACCTTAGTATTGGGGAGAGGAAGGGGACAGCAAGGGGCTGTCAGGGGACACAATGGCTTCCTGGCTCTCTGCTGATGGCTTAGAGGCCCTGGCCTTTTAAAATAATACTCTGGCATGGTTTGGTGGTGAACAAATCCTTCCTGAGGGCCTTGCGGCAGTGCTGCCAGCATCTGGAGGGAGAGCTCCAGATGTGCTCGGAGGCGAGAACTGCTTTGCTTTGCTGTAACACCACTTAACCACAGCACTCGGTGTTGAAAGAACCATCCCCTTGGTCTCAGAGCTGTGAGAAACGAGGTCGAGCTGTGTGAGGAGGATCCCTAATCATTAGGCTTTGGGGAGGGTTCTTTGGCAACCTCCATCGGGCCGCAGGGTAGTGTAGGGTGTCGCTTTTCAGGAGAAGAGGCTCGGTTTTCATTGATTCCAGGGGATGCTGCTTCATTTAAAAGGCAGATCCTGGGATGCAGTTCCCGCTGTTGATCTCCTCCAGCCAGGCAGTGCAGCCAGGTGGAAGGGTTTGGGCTGGAATGTCGGGCACGTTATTCCCGGCCCTTGGCCTAAAAGGGAGGTTCCTGTCTTGCTGCTTCAGTTTTAAGCAGAGTAGGAGAAACATTTTGTCCTCTGCAAAGCACCGGAGTGTTGCAACGTGCATGGCCCTGTCAAATGGTTGTGCTCAGTGATAAAGGTGCCACTCGCTTTCCCAGGATGGTCTTTTCTTTCTGAAAGTGGTCTTTCTTCTCTCAAAGTGGCCCTGGACTTGGGTGAGGTTTGCAAAGGCAAATGTTAGCCTGGCTGGGTGCGTGTCCTGGCCCAAGCCCCTGCATGCCTACACCTTTGAGTCCCTCACCCCTCCTTTTCCCTGGCATGGCAGGAGGCCTGTGAGCGCAGCCTGGCCGAGATGGAGACATCCCACCAGCAAGTGATGGAGGAGCTCCAGAGGCACCACCAGCGGGAGCTGGAGCGACTGCGGCAGGAGAAGGAGAGGCTCCTGGCAGAGGAGGCTGCGGCGACAGCAGCAGGTAGGAGTGGACAGCAAGCCGTGCCCCTGCTCAGATGGGTCCCTCCCACCTCTCCCAAATGTCTCCTGTGAGAAACCAGTCATCCCAGTCATCTGGAGCCACGCTGCTTACTCTGTTGGTGTGATGCTGGTCCTCAGCACTTTCCGGTAGGCAGGCAGGACTGGCAGAGGTGGCAGGGAGCTCCCATGCTGCTCTGTGTAAGTCTCCTTGGCAACACTTGGTGCATCAGGATGACCCTGGGGAGTGGAGAAGGTGGGGGATGCCCCAAGAGCAGAAGGGATGGAGGGAGAACCTGCAAAGACAGGTCTGGAGCCTGCAGCAGTGAGAGCTTGGCTGGTTCCCTGGCTTCCCGTGTCTTCCCCAAGACGTGTCAGAGCTGGCACAGTCTGATCCCCTATCTCCCATTGTCCCTGTCCACAGCCATCGAGGCACTGAAGAAAGCCCACCGGGAGGAGATGAATAAGGAGCTGGGTAGGACACGAAGCTTCCAGCAGTGCGGCTCAGTCTCAGATGCCCTCCAGAAGCAGCACCAGTAAGAAACCACCTCTCCTGCTCCCCTTGCCCAATGCTGCCACCCCTATACTGGTGTCACAGCACCCCATCTGTGGCTGTAGCCCACAGCTCTGTCCCCCTTGCTGCCTCCCTAGCTCTGTCCCTGGGGGCGGTGGGTACCCAGTGGTGACTGCCAGGGCTGCTGGAGCTGAAGGGCAGGAAAGTTTATCCCCTGCTTGGTTATTTTCCCTATAGCTTCTCTCTTTTCTCTGTGGCTTCTTCCCTCTGTTTTCTTTATGGAAAGCTCCTCCATTTCCTCTGGATGACTTGAAGCCCCTAGAAGCACCACCTTTGTGTGCAGGAGGGTGGGAACTAAAACCTTGGTCCACAGGGGACATTATTTTGTGCCAATGACTGATGTGGGCAGAGGCTGCCCATGGCCAGTCAGGGGCCAGTGAGGATTGTGGGGCAGCAATGAGCTGGTGCCTCTTTGACAGGTTGGACGTGGAGTCTCTGAAGCGGGAGCTGCAGGTGCTTTCCGAGCAGTACTCCCAAAAGTGCCTGGAAATCGGGGAGCTCACCCAGAAGGCAGAGGAGCGGGAACAGACACTGCTGCGCTGTCAGCAGGAGGGGAAGGATCTCCTCCGGAAAAACCAGGCAAGAGAATGGCTTTCCCTGCCAGCAGAGACCAGGGAGCCTGTTTCTCCTTTGCACAGCACAGCCCCTCTGTTACAATTCCCCTGTTTGTTCATATTTCTTCCCTGGTATTTTTATCAGAAATAGAAAAAAAAATTAAGGGCCTGTCTTAACCACGGTGTTAAATACAATGAGTGCATTCCTTGCTGCTGGTTGTAAGGTCACCATCATCTATGGGCAGGGGGTTACAAGGAGATCTCTAAGCTGGGGCAGTGCTGAAGTGCATGAAGATGGAGAGGTCAGGACAACAGAAAGGGCCGTGCTATGGCTACCCTGACTTCTTTCTTTTTGTTTTTTTTTTTCCCCACAGGAGCTGCAAACCCGCCTCTCTGACGAGATTGGGAAGCTGCGAAGCTTTATTTCATCGCGGAGCTCTGGGGACCGCTCTCCGCACAACAACGAGCGGAGCTCCTGTGAGCTGGAGGTATGGAGGGTCCCCCTCGGGCTGTCCTACTGCCTCCATCCCCACCCCACGCCAGAGGTCTCCTCCTTGCGGCGGTTTTGGCTGGGAGCTGGTGGGAGGGGGGTGCCGGATGGAGCAGCAGGGCTGGTGCAGGAAGGAGGTACGCAAGCTTCCCCTCTGCCTCTCTCCCGGGGAGCTCACTCCGCTTCCTGCCCCGGCCCTCCTGGCCCTTCCTTCCTTTTCCACTGCCGCGCTTGCGCCAGGGCCCTCTGGCCTTTCCCAGGCGGTGGCTCTTGAGTCACCTCTGGTTCCTCTCCCCATCCCGTTCCGGCCTAGGTGATGCTGCGGGTGAAGGAGAACGAGCTCCAGTACGTAAAGAAAGAGGTGCAGTGCCTCCGGGAGGAGCTGCAGATGATGCAAAAGGTCAGTGTTTTCTGGGAACCATTGGGAAAGCAGCAGGAGAGGGGAGAGAGAAAGGGAGGGAAGCACCAGGGCTGTATCTCAGCAGGGTTTGGCTGGGTTTGATGGGATCTTGGGCCAAGACTCTCTTGTCACCTGTGCTCCTTGTCCCCACTCGCTCCTGAGCACATAGCAGCCACGCGCTCCCAACGGCGCGGGCTGGCATGGGCTTATCTTGCACAAAGGAATTATCACAGAGACTTTGCTGCTGGTTTCTCCAGATGCACGTACATATAAGCGTGGACAAGGCAGGAGCCCTTCTTTCCCAGGTGGGAAGCCCAGATAAAGCCTGCCTGGCACTCCTCTTCCCCAGCCACCTCTGTCCCCGAGTTGTCCCCTCACTGGGTGGATGTGTTTCCTTGGGCACCGTGTCTGGGTGTGCTGCTCCACTGGCAGCGGCTCCTTCAGAGGGATTTTCAAAGACCCCTGCCAAAGAGGTACCTGAAAGAGGCTTTGAGATCCAGTGATGCTCCAGGAGCTTATAACTTTCTTACTGAAGTGGCTGGGACCAGCCCTTTCAGCAGCCTGCATCTCTGGTGGGGTTTATTTTTCCCATATGCCTGGCCCAAACTCACACGAGTCATGGTAAAGCCCGTATCACCCCCTCAATCTGATGGTGCAGATGCCTGCTGTTGCAGGACCAGCAACTCAGCCTTCCTCCCTGGCCCAAGGTTTGAGAAGTGCTACCTCCACACTCTTCTGAATAGTTTCTGTATGGCCCAGATTGGGGTGGACTCCCTTCCTCTCCTGCTGGGCTCACCGTGCTGCCCCCCTCCCTAATATCAGCCCTAAAACCTGCTGACCCTTCTCCCTCCCCTGGCAGGATAAGAGATTTGCCTCAGGGAAATACCAAGATGTCTATGCAGAGCTGAATCACATTAAGGTGCGTTCGGAGCGAGAGATCGAGCAGCTGAAGGAGCACCTGCGCCTGGCCATGGCGGCTCTGCAGGAGAAGGAGTCGCTGTGCAACAGCGTCGACAAGTAACGGTGAGCACCAGGGATGCCGTGATGTCCCCTAGAATCATAGAACAATTAGAGTTTAGAAGGGACCTTAAAGATCATCGAGTTCCAAGCCTCCTGCCATGGGCAGGGACACCTTCCACTAGACCAGGTTGTTCAAAGCCCCATCCAGCCTGGTCTTGAAGCCACCTGCAGGGGCAAGTGACTGAGACCGGCTGCCCTGCTTCAACGGGGGTAGAAGCTTTTGGTTCCTCCTGCTCCACTCAGTGCTGAAACTTTAGGCTTAGAGTCTTCCTTCTCAGAAGGGATAGCATTTCTGCTCTTGGTGCAGTCTTTCTAAACTATTTCTGGTTTTGTCTCTCTCTAGGTCTGCTCTTCGTTTGTTTATCTGTTCTTGTTTTGTATTTGCTCCATTCCTCACTTGCGGGGAGGGGAAGATGGAATCCCATCCATTATCGCCTTGGCGAGGAATCCCACCCAGCCCCCAGCCTCCTCACTCCCCTCCCAAAGCTTTTTTGATGAACCCCTTTTGCCTGAGTACCTGAGCACATTGTTTGGACTGGCTCCTTACATGCACCTTCTTCAGGATTTTATATGTGAAAATTATATTTTATAGAGGAATTTTTCCCCCTGGGAAGAAGGGGAAGAGGAGGGGGAAAACCTTTTACTACATCACCAGCATTTTCTAACCTGAAAAAGAGAATCTGTTTTTCCCCCCTTCCCCAGTCCTGATGCTCCCGGCCACACAGCCACCTTCGGCACATATTCCCTCTCTTCCAAAAGTCTCCATGGCCCCCCTAGGATGTACGGTGAGGACCATGCTCCCCCCTCTCCGTGCCACCCCCAGGGACCTGTGGAGAAAACATGCAAGCCATAGGAGGGAGCCGCCGGGGAAGTCTGCCATGGATGTGCTTGCCTGGGACTTTTGAAAGAGGAGACCTTGGCAAGAGTCTGCATGATCGAGCTCTCTCCGTGACTGTCCTTTGGCTCCTTCAAGAACCCACATTGGCAGGAGCCCAGAGCCACAGGGTCTCTCCTTTCTGGGGAAGAGGAGCTGTGAGGCAACCTCCCCCAAGGTGGCAGCTGCTGCTGCTCTGCTGCGCCCTTCAACTTTTAACTTAATAAAATCTCCCCTTTCGCTGAGAAAAAGGTGGTTGTTAAGGGGAACCTGTCCCTAACCCCATGTGGCGGTGGCGGGAAGTGTAATTTCTCCAGGTTCCTGTGTAATTTTGGTGTATCCTGATCCATTTCTTTTCTCCTTCTGGATTTGGGGAGGGAAAGCAGCAGGAGCACTCCTCCCTGGGCAGAGAGCAAGAGGAGCTCTGCTGTGCTGTTATCCAGCGTTCTGCTCTACCTTTGGGTTTGGGGAAGAAATAATCTCCTTCACCACACCACCCCAAAAATCTCATGTGGACCCTAAGCCCCACAGAGGAAGAGCTGAGCCTGGGCTGCATTAGTAAATGCAGTATTGGGGGGGGCGCAGATGGTACTGCAAGTTACTGGCAGAGTAAACAGTGTATATAGATCCTGGAGATCAGAGGGATCTCCAGTGCTTTCCTCCTCCTGTTTTTGGATGAAGCACATTGCTTTTTTGGCAGGATGAAGGACCTGGGGGTGACCGCTCCTCATTCAGCCCCATGCTAATGTAAACACGAGCTGTTGCTCTGCAGGGAGGCTGCTGGCAATTACGGGAGAGCCCTAATTGCAGGCTCATGCCAGGGCTGGAGGCACCGTCTGAAGAGGGGAAGACAAAAAGGGTCAAGGAGGACACTTGGATGGAGGTGACTGGGAGGCTGGAGCACTGTGAGATGTGGGGATGGGAGCAGGGTGTAGGGACACGGTGGCAGCCGCAATGAGTTACGGCAGCACACCTTCCCTCAGTGTGTGATAACCTTGCTGTGGTATCGGTGGCCCCTGGGGCATGGAGGGGGCACAGGCACATGCAGACCCACTCCTCCATGGGCTACGGCTGTGGCAACTGCTTTCCCTTGGTGGGGCAAGCCACTTAGTAAGTCACAAATTCCGGTAAAACTGGGTTGCAGGCTTTCATCACGTGTGCGAGGCCCTTGGGCAACCCAGTGGATGGTGCAAGAGGCTGGGCACTGAGCTCAGCAGGCAGGTCCCCGTTGCACCCGTGCAGAGCCAGGGTTTGCTCTCGCTGGTGCTTGGCCTCCTGCCTCCAGACTACACACCCTCCCATCCCTGCCCTGACCAAGGTCCGGGCTTTTCCCTTCACCTCCCAGCAGGACACGGCTGGTGCCATTGAGTTTGGGATGGGGCAAACATCTGGCACGATGGGAAGGAAAGAGGGGACAGAGCAGTTCAGGGCAACTGCTTCCAGGCTGCAGGGGATGGTCGTGCCATGGGGGATTGGTAAGGACCAAGAGAGGAGAGGAAAAAAGTGGGGTTCAGGGCACGGTGTTGCAAACTGGGGGATCCCTGCGTGGTTTTAAGAAAACACAACAGTTAAAGCGAAAGTCTGTGTAGTCATACCTACTCCTGGGGGAGGAACCCCCCAAAAGTGGGGCACTGGGGCTAAGTGGAGGGTGAACAAGGGGTGAACCACAGGCTGCCGGTGCGTGCGCCTTGCCAGCCCCTTCCCTGAGGGGTTCGGTATCTCCTGTTTGTTTGGGTTGGTTTGCTGGCGTGGTGGTGTTTTGTTGTTGGTTTTTTTTTCCCCTTCCTGACTGGGGGCTGCTGACCCCGATAACCGTGTGGCATAAGCGCGGGTGCAATGTGTGGGTGCCTGACATGCCGTCGAGCCGCCCCTCCTCCGGGCTCTGTGGCTGTAGATCAGCCGCCGGCTGGGCAGGAGCATCCCGTCATCCCGGGGTGACGGGGGACCACCGCCTCCCAAACCGCCGCCGCGTTAATCAGGCAGCCCCCGTCTCGCCTGTGGCGGGGCGATACGGTCACCCCGTCGTCTCTGTGTCCCTATCTCCCGGGCGCAGGGGAGCTGGGTCGGGGGGAGAGTGGCAGGGAAGGGAGGTGACTGAAATGCCGGCGGGTGATGGGCATGATGGCCAGCGGAGCCCAAAAAGCACCCCAAAATCATGCCTGTGCCCCGTCCACTTGCTTTCAGCTGGGTTGTGGCTGTGAGAAACTTCCCAGCCTCAAGCATGGGGAAAACCCGCAGCCGTGTGGCACCCTGGTTGCATGAGAGTCACCATCCCAGCTCGCATAAGGAGCTTGTCCTTAAAAACCACCTTGTAAATCTTTTAAAACAGCGGTAATTGGTCCAGCAGCCAGTGGCAATACACTTTTGCCATTTATTGGCATCATTAAAGCCCGCTCTGCCCTTAGCAGCAGCCTGGCTGAGCGGCTTTGTGCTGGGCTGACCACACTGTGTTGCACAACTCGGGGCTCGGGGCTGAAGCTCTGATGAGCACGACTGGAAATTCAGCCAACTTCCCAGTTCTGCCACTGAAAAAGCACTGAAGGTCGTGGAACTGAGTGCCAGCCAGGCCAAATCCCACTGCTGGGTGTTTTGAGCCTCTTGGGAAATGGAAACCAGGTAAAACAAAATGTTGTCGCTGGCATTAGTCATCCAAGTGCCCCAGTGCTCTTGGATGGCAGTGAGCTGCCATCCTGCCCCTACAAGGCAGGGGCTGTTGCCCGGTGGATCAGTAGGACATCTACGATGGATGCGGTTTGACCATTTAAGATGAAATCCGCATCTGGAAGAGCGTAAATCCCCACAGGGTCTGGCTGAGCACAGCATGGGGAGGGAGGAGAAGGTAAACGGGATTATGGAGAGAATTCCTCTGCCAGGCTCTGTCCTCTGGGGTTCATCAGAGAAGTGGCATTTCCCCATGTCTGCTGGCTAACACCAGAAACAGCAGGCGCAGGAGGCTTGGAGCGGTTGGGTGGCTCTCCTTGAGGAGAAGAGGGGGTGCAGGGGGTAACCCACCCTACCCTGGGCATGGTGGCAGGTTCCTGTGGCCAGAAACACAAGCACAAGCCTAAACCAGGCACAGGGGAGCAGGTGGCCCATGGGAACAATTTTTCCTTCTGGATGGGCCCCCCCTTCCGTGCTGCCTGCAGTGGGGGCCGGGCAGCGCTGGACCCCACTTCATGGAGGTGGTGGGGCCGGCATTGCCCTGCAGTGACTGCATCCCACCTCCAGCACCGGCATCCCAGTTTTCCCCCAGGGAAAATCCATCTCTATCCTGGCCGTCTGGTGTTAAGGATGCATTGGTACAACAGCGCAGCGTTCAAGGGGGGGCTTTCCTGTATCAAGTGGGGACGTTTAGGGGGTTACCTTGGCCGGGATCCACACCCACCCCCCCCATATACAAGGTCATCAGCAGCCTGATGAGCTGTGACCACCCGTATGCCTTCCCTCCACCAAGTCGCCTAAGGGCATGGGGTGTTCCCCCCATTTTGATGGGCTAAAAATTAGGGAGCTGCTCTGGATGAAAGGGCCAGAACCTCCACGTACAGGGGAGAGGGTGTTTGCTCGCCGGCAGCGGCACCCGCCGGAGGAGGCTGAGCAGCCCAGCTCGGCTGCGGGAGCTGCCCAGGTGACTGGCTGAGATTAGAACCCTAATTTTCAGCTGGATAAAGTTAGGTAAAGCATCTGCCCTCCCTGCCTTCCCCCCCCCCCACTTTGCCTCCCCATCACTGCGCTGCCCTGATAATGGTTATTAAGGCTGGAGGCTCTGCGGTCAGCCCGCGGCACCGTGCCAAGCCCGGGAGCTTGGGGACGACACTGACACCCCTGCTCCTCATCTGGCCTCGGAGTCCAGCCGATGAGCAGCCCATCCACGCTTCTGACCGTTAAAAACTCGGGTGCAAATAAAAGCAGATGGTGCCTTATCTGCCGGCGCCCGGCTTCGCCTACGTGCAGGCGGCCAGCGATGGCGGTTTATTCCCGGTAAGGAAAAACGAGCAGTCCCTTGGCCAGCTGAAGAGTTGTGCAGAGGCCACCAGGGCTCGCTGCCCCTGCACTCCAGAGAGGATGGAAAGTGATGTATTCATCAGGTCTTAAGGGAAAAAAAAGTGGTTATTCCCCTCTCTAATTAGGAGCTCTATGCGCTTAATAAAACCGGGTGGTTTTCAAGTGCTGTGAACCCCTCCTGCTCCCCAAATGGGGGGGGTGTGTGTGTGAAAGAGCGTCCCTGAGGAAGGAGGCACGAGGGGATGCCCTCAGTGGGATGCACTTCTGCCACCCCTGGAAAAGCATCAGGGGGCCCAGTGCCTCCTCCCAGGCCAGGGACATGCTGCAGCCTCACGTAGTACGTGTGTGTGTTGGGAAGGGAGCATCACATATTTCTATTTTTATTTCCATTTCTATTTCTTTTATTATTTCTATTTCCATTTCTTCTATTATTTCTATATTCATATTTATTTATATATATACATCTGTATCTATTTTTATATAGATCTGTGTCCCCTGGCTGGTGGTTTTCACGCCCCTGGGCACCCAGGGTGCATGGAGGTTACAGGAAAGTGCCCACTGTGTTATTTTAACGCCCTGCCGAAGGGCTGAGGGGTTTGGAGGGGCTGGGGTTCACCTCCGAGCACCACACGGCATCTCGGTGGGCATCAGGTGGCTGGTACCCGCCTGTTTTTTTTAAAAAAATAAGAGGGAAAACATCTAAGTGCTACGGGCAAGAAGATGATAGTGGCCACGTTTAATCTCCCAGGAGCAGCCGCCTGCTTACGCAGCTGGGGAAGGAGGGCTGGTTGTCACTGCTACACCGTCCTGCTCCATCTCCTCACAAAGACTTATGTCCCCCCTCAAAAGGGGGACAGGCTGTTATTTGTGACCCCGGCCACCCACCTGTGAGGGCTGAGCTGATGTCCCCAAAGCACCTGGTGGGGGGCAGAGAGGGCAGAGAAGTGGGGCAGAGGCGTTGGGCTGTGGGGTACTGCTGCTGAGCCTGTTTTGACCCCAGTGCTCCCCCTTTTCTCCTTGGTGTCCCCCTCCCAGTGTCCCCTGATGTCCTCCCCTGTGTCCCTCCTTACCCCCTGATGTTTCTCACTATGTCCCTCCTTGTGCCCCCCTGAATGTCCCTCCATGTGTCCTGATGTTGCTCCAAGTGTCCTTGCCCTGTCCATCCTCGTCTCCCCAGTGTCCCCAGGTGCTTCTCCTTGTCTCCTCCATGCCCCCCCCACAGTGTCCCTCCTTGTCCCTACCCAGTGTCCTCCCAAATGCTGCTCTTTGTTCCCTGGTGACCCCTCCAAGTGTCCCTCCTTATTCCCACCCAGTGTCCTCCCAAGTGCTCCTTCTTGTCCTGCTGTTGTCTTCCCTAATGTCCTTCCTTGTCCCTACCCAGTGTCCTCCCAAATGCTGCTCTTTGTTCCCTGGTGACCCCTCCAAGTGTCCCTCCTTATTCCCACCCAGTGTCCTCCCAAATGCTCCTCCTTGTTCCCTGGCGACCCCTCCAAGTGTCCCTCCTTATTCCCACCCAGTGTCCTCCCAAGTGCTCCTTCTTGTCCTGCTGTTGTCTCCCCCAATGTCCCTCCTTGTCCCTACCCGGTGTCCTCCCAAATGCTCCTCCTTGTCCCCTGGTGACCCCTCCAAGTGTCCCCACTCAGTGTCCCCCCAGCATTCCTCCTTGTCCCACCGTTGCCCCCCAACCCCAAGCATCCCATCTCATGGCCCTGAGGTCCCTCACCGTCCCAGCCCGGCGGGCTCCCGGGGCGGGGGGGGGGGGGGGGGGGGGGGACCACGGGGCTTCCCCACTTCTCTTTTCCCCCCAGCCTCTCCCCGCCCAGGGGAGGGGGGGTCCCGGCCCGGTCCGGGACCAGGCTTTCCCACCGTTAAGGGAAAGGCTAGCGGGGCATCCCGGGACGAAACACCGACCATGACGGACAGCCCGATCCCAGTCCCGGCTCCGGCCGCCAAACCCAAGCGGGCCAGGTCGGCACGGAGGCCGGCGGCCCACCCCACCTACTCGGACATGATCGCGGCGGCCATCCGGGCTGACAAGAGCCGCAGCGGCTCCTCTCGCCAGTCCATCCAGAAGTACGTGAAGAGCCACTACAAGGTGGGACCCAACGCCGACGTCCAGATCAGGCTCTCCATCCGACGCCTCCTCGCTGCCGGCGTCCTCAAGCAAGCCAAAGGGGTCGGAGCCTCCGGCTCTTTCCGCCTGGCCAAGGCCACCAAGGCGAAGAAGTCTCCGACCAAGAAGAAGAAGAAGAAGAAGAAGGCGACCAGGAAATCCACGTCGCCCCGGAAAGCGGCGAGGCCCAGGAAAGCCAGGTCGCCGGCAAAGAAGCCCAAGTCTGCCGCCAGGAAAGCCAGGAAGAAGTCGAGGGCCAGCCCGAAGAAAGCCAAGACGACAAAGACTTTTAAGGTCAAGTCGCTGAAGTCATCCAAGCCCAAGAAGGCAAAGCGGTCGAAACCCAGAGCCAAGTCCAGCGCCCGAAAATCACCCAAGAAGAAGTGAGAAGTCTAGAGGCGTTTCGGTACTCTCCCCTTTGGTTTCTGTAAATAGCTTTTGCCTTTATTTTTACCCCCTTCTATTGCATTTTATAAAGAATTGATCTATTCCTGTCTGGAAATCGCTAAAACAAGGCAGTTAATGAAAGAAAAAAAGGAACATGTTTGTTATGGAGAGTTCCAATTTTTAAGAGTTATTGGTCTGGGTTTTTATTTCAACGTCTCAGAAATTTCTTGCGTGTCTGCTGTCTTTTTTTTTAACACTGGGCGGCTTGTTCTGTGTTGAGGGTGATAGTGACTCTGTGTGTCTGTCGGGGCTGTACAGGGTTTCAATTCCTGGTCCTGCCCCAGTTCCTGGGGGGTTGTGTGTTTGCTGGGGGCCGGGCAGATTTTGCCTGTGTCGGAGGGAAAGCGGGAACATACGGCTGCGAGAGCCACAGCCTTCCCGGGAGGAGGAAAAGGGGCTCTCGCTCCCTCCTCCGCCACCCCAGGTCCCCACCACGGGGCCGAGGCGAAGTTGGGCTGCTGGGTGCAAGGTCTGGCTGGCACTGGAGATAACCACTCATCCAGCCAGGCGATGGGGCTGCCTGCCTGCCTGCAGAGCCACCGGGGAGAGTTTTGGGGCAGGAAGGGGAGGGAGGAGGAGGTGGAGCGGGGCCAGAGTCTGCTCACAGTTTGGCTTTCAAGGAGTTGGAAGTGTCCAGCAAGTGGGAAGGGGTTGGTTGATCCCTGGGGAGGAGGGACAGACACAGCTAGGAGCAGCTTTGCTCCCTGGGGAGGAAGGGCCGGAGCAGGGCAGTGGGCATCTCTGCAGGCAAAGGCTGGGGTAGGCAGCCAGGGCGGCCCCGCTGTCACCCCGGGGCTGTGGCTTTGTGCCCAGCAGGGACTGGCACAGCTCCAGGGCCTGCCTGTCCCTGCCTGTCCCCTGCCAGCACCTCCCTCCTGGGGCAGGGATGGGTGGTTCTGATGGCCAGGGCTGGCAGGGATCCTCCGGGCCGGCCCTATTGCTCAGCAGAGTCTGAGCCTCGGGCAGGAGGTGCCTAATCCCGCTTACACAAAGACATCTAAGCTCCTTGGATGTCAGGACCCCCAACCACCTGGGCCAGGAGCTCCGAAATCCTGGGGGCTGTGGGTCCCCAGTCCCCTTGGGTTTGCTGTGCCTAAATCTTGTCGGCCCAGAATCTTCCTGATATCTAATCTAAATCTCCCCTCTTTCAATTTAAAACCATTAACCCTTGTCCTGTCACTACACTGCCTGACAAAGAGTCCCTCGCCAGCTCTCCTGTAGCCCCCTTCAGATATTGGGAGGCTGCTATGAGGTCTCCCCGGAGCCTTCTCTTCTCCAGGCTGAACAACCCCAGTTCTAGTCGAAGAACAACCTGACCTAGTCAAAGATGTCCCTGCTCATTGCAGGGGTTGGGGGGGTCGTGGACCAGATGACCTTTAAAGCTGCCTTCCAACCTGAATTATTCTATGATTCCATGATTCTACATGACCTCCTCATGACAGTTCCCAAATCCCTTGGTTCTACATAACATCATAGAATCATATGGGGTTGGAAGGGACCTCTGGAGATCACCTAGTCCACCCCCCCCCCCCCCCCCAGCTCCAGGCCCTTAATCATCTTTGTGGCCTTTTGCTGTCCCTTCTCCAGCAGTTCCCCGTCCTTCTTGAACTGGGGAGCCCAGAACTGGACACAGTGCTCCAGACGGCGCCTCCCCAGGGCAGAGTAGACGGGATGGATGACCTCCCTCCACCTGCTGGCCACACTCTTTTTTAATGCACCCAGTATTTGTAAGCATTGATTAGATCCCCCCAAAGTCTTCTCAAGACTAAAAAGACCCAAATCCCTCAGCCTCTCCTCATAGGAGAGATGCTCCAGCCCCTTAAAAATCTTTGTGGCCTTTTGCTGTCCCTTCTCCAGCAGTTCCCCGTCCTTCTTGAACTGGGGAGCCCAGAACTGGACACAGTGCTCCAGACGGCGCCTCCCCAGGGCAGAGTAGACGGGATGGATGACCTCCCTCCACCTGCTGGCCACACTCTTCTCCATGCACCCCAAGATGCCATTGGCTTTCTGGACCACAAGGGTACGTGACACACCCCCCCCAAACGACACTTCCTAAATCCCTTGGATGGGCTGGCCCAGAATCACAGAATCACAGAATCTTCTAGGTTGGAAGGGACCTTAAAGATCATCTTGTCCAACCGTCACCCTAACTGACAAAAATAGACACCCACACAACAAACAAGGAGCATCATCACTAAACCATACCTCCCAGCACTTCATCAACCCGTCTTTTGAACACCTCCAGGGATGGTGCCTCAACCACCTCCCTGGGCAGCCCATTCCAAGGGCTGATAACCCTTTCAGTGAAAAATTTTTTCCTAATATCCAGCCTGAACCTCCCCTGGCGCAACTTGAGGCCATTTCCTCTTGTCCTGTCGCCTGTGACTTGAGAAAAGAGACCGACCCCCATCTCTCTACACCCTCCTTTCAGGTAGTTGTAGAGAGCAATAAGGTCTCCCCTCAGCCTCCTCTTCTCCAGGCTGAACGACCCCAGCTCCCTCAGCCTCTCCTCATAAGACTCACTCTCCAGACCCCTCACCAGCTTTGTCGCCCTTCTCTGGACCCGCTCCAGCACCTCAATATCTTTTTTATGGTAGGGGGCCCAAAACTGGACACAGTCCCCTCCCAGGGACCCCAAACCACCTGCTTTGGGGGGCGCCTAAACCTTTTGGGACAGGGGGACACCCCCAAATGAAAGGTTTGAACGACACCGAGAAGAAGGTGCCCGAGTCCCTTTAAGGGCGGTGGGAGGGGGGTGGGGGCGTGGCCATAGCGTAGCCCCGCCCCCTCTGGCCCCGCCCCCGCCGGCGAGGG